TGCGAGTGTGGTGAAAGTGTTGAATGATGATGAAAGTATTTTCTTTTTGGGGATTTTCTTTCTTTTTTGGGTCATCCTGCCTCGGTGGGAGACGGCCGACTTGTTGAAAAAAAAAAAAAATTCATATTTGTTGTATACCTAGTTCCTGTTTTCCATTACAGTGGTCCCTCAATAATCGTCCATAATCCGTTCCTGGAAGTGGGACTATTATCGAAATGGATGATTTACGGATCAATTTTCCCCAATTTTGGCACTGGACAAGCACCTAAAGTCAGTTCCGGATCAGCCGGGCTGTGGCTCGTACGTTGGTTTGCGTGCAACCAGCAGCAACAGCCTGGTTGATCAGGCTCTGATCCACCAGGAGGCCTGGTCACAGACCGGGCCGCGGGGGCGTTGACCCCCGGAACTCTCTCCAGGTAAACTCCAGGTAATAAGAAATAATGTAAATTCAATTAATCCGTTCCTGACACCCAGAAGTATTAAAACAAAAAATTTTTTTACTTGAAATATAGATATAATACATAAACAATACAGTAGTACATGATGGATTAAACATTAACAGAATAACACTTACCTTTATTGGCGATTTTTCTTTGTGTATGGAAGACTGAAGAAGGAGACTGATTGGATGAATTACTGTTTGGAAGGGGAATCCCCTTCCATCAACACCTCGGGTACCAATTGCTTTTCTGGGGTTACTTCTCTTCTCTGTTTCTTAATGCTACTAGGACCACCTTGAGAGTCACTGGAGTCCTGTCTCGCAAAAAAACTGTCCAGAGAGCTGTTTCTGGCATCTCTTTAAAACTTCCCTAAAATTGGCCAAGACTCTCACTGTACAAGTTGCCAATATGGCTTGCAACATCCTTCTCTGGGTGATGTTTCTCCATAAATCTTTCCGTCCTACCCCACATTTCAAAAATCTCCTTAAATTCTGAAGAAAGCACCTTCCTCCATCTCTCTTCCTCCTCCTCTTCAGCAAGATTCTGAGCTGCGATCTGTTGCTGTTCCTGCTGAAGCTCTTGCAGCTCCTCAGTGGTTAGCTCTTCATTGTGGTCCTCCACCAACTCTTCCACATCCTCCAAACTCACATCCAACCCCATGGAAGTCCCCAGTGCCACAATGGATTTAACAACTGACATAGGCTCATCAGGGTCAGCCCCAAACCCTTCAAAATCCCTCTTGTGGACACAATCTGGCCACAATTTTCTCCAAGCATTGTTCAAAGTCCTGGTAGTCACTCCCTCCCAAGCCTTACCTATAAGGTTTACGCAATGGAGAATACTGAAATGTTCTTTCCAAAAATTTCGTAGGGTCAAGTGAGTGTCTGAGGTCACATTCAAGCACCTTTCAAACATTGCTTTGGTGTAGAGTTTTTTAAAGTTTGCAATGACCTGCTGGTCCATGGGCTGGAGGAGAGGAGTGGTATTCGGGGCAAGAACTTTACTGTGATGAACCCAAACTCCTTCAGAATTAGGTCATCCAAGTTTGGAGGATGAGCAGGTGCATTGTCCATTACTAGGAGGCACTTGAGATCCAATTTCTTTTCCAGGAGGTAATTCTTCACACTAGGGCCAAACACTTCATTGAACCACTGTACAAAAATTTCCCTCGTGACCCATGCCTTACTATTAGATTTCCAAAACACACACAATTTACTCTTCATAACATTGTTTTTCTTGAACACACTGGGATTTTCAGAATGGTACACTAGTAATGGCTTCACTTTGAAATCCCCACTAGCATTAGCACAGAACATTAGCGTCAGCCTGTCTTTCATAGGCTTGTGTCCTGGCAGCGCCTTTTCTTCCTGAGTAATGTAGGTCCTCTTTGGCATTTTCTTCCAAAAGAGGCCTGTTTCATCACAATTGAACACTTGTTCAGGTTTCAGTCCTTCAGCCTCTGTGTACTCCTGGAATTCATGCACATATTTTTCAGCCGCCTTGTGGTCCGAACTGGCATCCTCACCATGCCTTACCACACTGTGTATGCCAGTACGCTTCTTAAATCTCTCAAACCAGCCTTTGCTGGCCTTAAATTCACTCACATCATCACTAGTTGCAGGCAATTTCTTTACCAAATCATCATGCAACTGCCTAGCCTTTTCACAAATAAGCAACGTCATAAGACTATCTCCTGCTAATTGTTTCTCATTTATCCACACCAATAATAACTTCTCAACATCTTTGAGTACTGGTGATCTCATTTTTGTCAGCATATTTACCCTCTTTGCAACAACAGCATCCTTGATTTCCTTTTTCTTGGCTATGATGGAAGATATGGTTGTACGGGATTTGTTATACATCCTGGCCAGTTCGCCCACACGTACGCCACTATCATATTGTTCAATGATGTTTTTCTTAAATTCAATCGTATTTCTCACCTTCTTTCCAAAGGCTTGGCACTAGGAGCTTTCTTTGGAGCCATGGTAGCTTATTTAGCACTTAAATAACTTGCAAGCACTAAAATAAATGAAATATGAAATATTTCGCTGGAGCACGTGAGGGGACCGTCACTCACTGGTAAACAATGGCACACTGGCTGGGAAGGAAAGGCCGAGGCAGCTCGAGGCGGCTCAGACCGTGAGTACGCGTCCGGGACGAAGGACTATTAGCGAGTTACCGGACCATATCCAAGCCAATATTTTGACGAAAAAACAGGACTATTTCCGAAATGGATGACTTTCAGGCCAGACGATTATTGAGGGACCACTGTATTATAGTTTATGGCATTGTTAAAATATAAAGCATTCTATATAAAATATATATTTTATTTTTATTTATCCTGTTTATTACCACCTATTAATGCATTTTTTAAACTCTTTTTCCATTTCTTACCTTGGCAGTGTGACCCATAAAAGAAAATCTCACTCACCACCATCACACTCACTGTAGCTGCCACTGTTAGATGATTATCCAATATTGACTCCCACATCACATTCTTCCCACCCTACTTTTAGAGTGCACATGCTATACTTAGAAACCTTCATAATTAAACTCTAGCCAATAAGTTCCTGTTAGTCCCTCTTTGCTAACATTTCAACAATTATACTGAAGTTCATTGATCAAGTTTTTTTTTTTTTTTTACTGTATGCAGTGTATCATTATACTTACGAGAAGTTCAGGCTGCAAAACTAAAGCATGTCATAATTTGTATAGTTAAAGAGTAATGGCCTGAAGCTGCTGAAAGTTTCTTGCTGCTTCCCTCTCCTTCCTTGGATCAGATTTGATTAGCCTTCACCTTTCCCATTTCTCAGGCAGTTTTTAATTCGTCTACAGAATGTTGACAAAATGAGTTAAATTTTCGTATGCTTTGACCTTTGCAGTGAAAAAAAAAATGTTCTCAAACTTAAGAGGATGGCTTTTTAGTGTGACTTATGGCACCAGATTTATGAAACAATACACAAATAACTCGTACATAGGAAAATGAAACTTGTATTGACATTTCAGCCCGACTTGGACCATTAACTAGTCAGTGGTCCAAGTGATTAATTAATGGTCCAAGTCAGACTGAAGTGTCCTCATAAATTTCATTCTTGTATCATTTTTGTATTGTTCCAGTCACAGTATTGTGTCTTTTTCTTCTTTATTTCTGAGACAAGTTTTTTCAATTTGGATCATATCTCATAAGTAAAGGTTCTTCTGTCTTCTTTAGTACTGTATATCAAAACTTGCCGACTGTTGCCAAAATTTTACTTCTAGCTTTATAGGTCAATGAGTTCTCACTGAGCTTCTGGCCCAGCTGTTAAATTCAAGGCAGTAACACAGCTGTATGTTATCAGCATGCACTCTGCAGGAAATCTGTTAAATTCCTCAACGACTTACCTCTGAGTGAGTGGTGCACTTAGGAGTCTGTGGAGACAAAGAACTTTGTCCTTGGAGGCAAAGAGGAGAATGTATGAGAGTATAGTTTTACCAACGCTCTTATATGGGTGTGAAGCATGGGTGATGAATGTTGCAGCGAGGAGAAGGCTGGAGGCAATGGAGATATCATGTCTGAGGGCAGTGTGTGGTGTGAATATAATGCAGAGAATTCGTAGTTTGGAAGTTAGGAGGAGGTGCGGGATTACCAAAACTGTTGTCCAGAGGGCTGAGGAAGGGTTGTTGAGGTGGTTCGGACATGTAGAGAGAATGGAGCGAGACAGAATGACTTCAAGAGTGTATCAGTCTGTAGTGGAAGGAAGGCGGGGTAGAGGTCGGCCTAGGAAAGGTTGGAGAGAGGGGGTAAAGGAGGTTTTGTGTGTGAGGGGCTTGGACTTCCAGCAGGCATGCATGAGCGTGTTTGATAGGAGTGAATGGAGACAAATGGTTTTTAATACTTGACGTGCTGTTGGAGTGTGAGCAAAGTAACATTTATGAAGGGGTTCAGGGAAACCGGCAGGCCGGACTTGAGTCCTGGAGATGGGAAGTACAGTGCCTGCACTCTGAAGGAGGGGTGTTAATGTTGCAGTTTAAAAATTGTAGTGTAAAGCACCCTTCTGGCAAGACAGTGATGGAGTGAATGATGGTGAAAGTTTTTCTTTTTCGGGCCACCCTGCCTTGGTGGGAATCGGCCGGTGTGATAATAAAATAAAAAAAAAATTATCAGAATGTGCTCTACATTATTCAGAGACAGACATTACAGGCAACTGCATAAACAGAAAAAAATACATTAAGTACTATGATTTCAGACTTATAAGATATCCTGTATGTGAATATAGTATATTTCTGAATAAAAATTGTCTTTAGCAGAAGTTAAAGAGAGTTAAAGGAGGAAGTATATGTAGTATATATAATTAAGTATTGTATAGTATTGTAGTTGACCTTGTGTATAATTTGTCTTGGGCAGTAATATTATGTCTTAACAAAAACTTTAGTTCTTTTCATTTTATTCCATGCACATATTTGGTTTATGTAGTACAATATGAAAAGTAGGAGTTCTTGTATTACAAAAAAAAAAAAAAACTTGTATCAAATGAATAGCATTCTGTAAATTCTTCACTTCATATTTCATCACATTTTCAGGCTTAGTATACAGTGATGAAGAGTGGGAAACAGAGTGGGCAAATGTTCTTCGTTTGGCCTCGAGTGCCCCTCGTGGCAGCCAAGACAGTAGTGGAGATGGAACTTCTGACAGCAGCCAGAAAGCTAAAGGACAGACCAGTACTTGTAGCAAAGCTGACTCTCCTCCTGCAAGCAAGAGGCTAAGCAATGGGTAAGAATGCTGACAGTATATTTATGCTGTGCTTGTGTGTCTACTTGTTTGTTGACTTTTCCAAGGACTGTGGTCCCCATAGCTTGATTTTGTAGTAAATTTTACATGTATCACCAGAATTAATAAGTTGGTGATGCATTTATTTTCATAATTTATAGAAGTAATTGATGTTGGACAGTTATCCTAATTATTTTTAAACTTTCACTTCTGCTTACTTTGAAGAATAGTTGTTAATATCATTCACGATAGTAGAGTGGAAAGGAGAGATTTATTTAATCTTTATTTATGTGATTACTGATTTATAGCTGAGAGCAGGTATACTAATGGTATCTTGTGTTCACTGCATGGTTGTAGTCATAGATTTTTAAGTTTCCATGGGTTGTACCATATAAAATTTTTGCTGTAGTTTTTGACTTGATGGCAAGTGGCTGGTGTGTTGAAGAAAAAAAGAAGATTGTTTTAGTTTTCCCATTCTCTTTAACAGCCTTATTTTTTAGTTAATGGCAAATGAGCATTTTACGTTTGTTACTGGATGATGAGTGGTACAAGTATTTGAGAAGGTTATGTCAATTCTTGCTACATTTGAACAGAGGAGATGCTGTTGGTTGATGGTGTGTGTATGTGCTGTTTTGTAATTAACATCAATTTACATCACTGATGATAATTACAGTGGTGAAACATTAATTACAGTGGTGAAACATTATTTACAATGGCAAAACATTTCCTGTAATATATGTCCTGAACTATACATAAGTGTCTTTTTTCCACATCTTGTCGTATCACTGTACCATTTTTCTGTCTTTCTATTGTCTTAGAAGTTATCAGAGCTTCACTGTTAGCTTTATAATAATAATAATAGAGTTATTTTTGGTCTAATGTCTTTCATTCATATAAATAGTATGACTAGTATTAGTAGCAGGCAAAGTTTTATTCAATCTAAATGAAACATTACTACTGACTGTGGCAGTTGTGTATTGCATTATTTATATTTCTTTTTGTTATTGATAAACTAAGGATAGAATAAGTCATTTTCCTCTTGGTTGCTCTCAGACATCCACTGTTTGCAGGTTTCAAAGTAGCCAAAGTGAAGATTGTGCAGGGCATGTTTATGAGAGTTTAGAAGAAATACATGTACTGGCATTGGCCCATGTCCTTAGAAGACCCATAATTGTGGTAGCCGACATAACTCTCAAGGTAAATAATGTGTGTGTATTTGTAGAGTCCATTATTTCACGTGTTTTGTATTAGCCCACCAGTTAGTATTCAGCAGACCAGCAGTGTAAAAAAGTGGGTAGTGTACTTGATATCTTTCGGGAGCAGAAAGAGGTCTTCTTCTTTCGACAAACTGGCCGTATCCCACCAAAGCAGTAGAGAAAGGTACAGTGGTCCCTCGATAATCGTAGGGCTCGAGAGTCGTAATTTTCGGAAATCATAGCGATATTTTCGTAAAAACATGGGCTCGCTAATCGTAGATTGACTCGCGAATAGTAGTTCGTCCGGGACGCGTACGCACGCTCTGAGCCGGGGCGGCTTCCCTTCCCAGCCAGTGTGGCATTGTTTACCAGTGAGCGACAGTCCCCTCACTTGCTCATACGAAATACTATTTCATAATATTCCATTCATTTTAGTGCTTGCAAGTACTAAATAAGCTACCATGGCTCCAAAGAAAGCTCCTAGTGCCAAGCCTGTGGTAAAGAAGGTGAGAAATACGATTGAATTTAAGAAAAACATCATTGAACAATATGAAAGTGGCGTACATGTGGCCGAACTGGCCAGGATGTATAACAAACCCTATACAACCATATGTTCCATCGTGGCCAAGAAAAAGGAAATCAAGGACGCTGTTGTTACAAAGAGGGTAAATATGCTGACAAAAATGAGATCACCAGTACTCGAAGAGGTTGAGAAGTTGTTATTGGTGTGGATAAACGAGAAACAATTAGCAGGAGATAGTATTATGACGTCGATTATTTGTGAAAACGCTAGGCAGTTGCACGACGATCTGGTAAAGAAATTGCTTGCAACTAGTGGTGATGTGAGTGAATTTAAGGCCAGCAAAGGTTGGTTTGAGAGATTTAAGAACCATAGTGGCATACACAGTGTGGTAAGGCATGGTGAGGCTGCCAGTTTGGACCACAAAGCAGCTGAAAAATTATGTTCATGAATTCAAGGAGTACATAGAGGCTGAAGGACTGAAACCTGAACAAGTGTTCATTTGTGATGAAACAGGCCTCTTTTGGAAGAAAATGTCAAAGAGGACCTACATTACACAGGAGGAAAAGGCACTGCCAGGACACAAGCCTATGAAAGACAGGCTGACGCTCATGTTCTGTGCTAATGTTAGTGGGGATTTCAAAGTGAAGCCGTTACTAGTGTACCATTCTGAAAATCCCGGAGTGTTCAGGAAAAACAATGTTATGAAGAGTAAATTGTGTGTGTTTTGGAAATCTAATAGTAAGGCATGGGTCATGAGAGAAATTTTCGTCGTGTGGTTCAGTGAAGTGTTTGGCCCTAGTGTGAAGAATTACCTCCTGGAAAAGAAATTGGATCTCAAGTGCCTCCTAGTAATGGACAATGCACCTGCTCATCCTCCAAACTTGGATGACCTAATTTTCAAGGAGTTTGGGTTCATCACAGTAAAGTTCTTGCCCCCTAATACCACTCCTCTCCTCTAGCCCATGGACCAGCAGGTCATTGCAAACTTTAAAAAACTCTACACCAAAGCAATGTTTCAAAGGTGCTTGAATGTGACCTCAGACACTCACTTGACCCTAAGAGATTTTTGGAGAGAACACTTCAGCATCCTCCATTGCATAACCCTTACAGGTACGGCTTGGGAGGGAGTGACTACCAGGACTTTGAACTCTGCTTCGAGAAAATTGTGGCCAGATTGTGTCGACAAGAGGGATTTTGAAGGGTTTGGGGCTGACCCTGATGAGCCTATGTCTGTTGTTAAATCCATTGTGGCACTGGGAAGTTCCATGGGGTTCGATGTGAGTTTGGAGGATGTGGAAGAGTTGGTGGAAGACCACGACAAAGAGCTCACCACTGAGGAGCTGCAAGAGCTTCAGCAGGAAGAGCAACAGATCGCAGCTCAGAATCTTGCTGCAGAGGAGGAGGAAGAGAGATGGAAGAAGTTGCCTTCTTCAGAAATTAAGGAGATTTTTGAAATGTGGGATAAGATGGAAAGATTTATGGAGAAACATCACCCTGACAAGGCTGTTGCAAGCCATGTTGGCAACATGTACAGTGACAAAGTCTTGGCCCATTTTAGGGAAGTGTTAAAGAGACGCCAGAAACAGAGCTCTCTGGACAGTTACTTTGTGAGACAGGACTCCAGTCACTCTCAAGCTGGTCCTAGTGGCATTAAGAAACAGAGAAGAGAAGTAACCCCAGGGGATCCTCCTTCCAAACTGTAAATAATCCAATCTCTCTCCTCCTCCAGTCTTCCATACACTAAGAAGAATCGCTGTTAATGTTTCATTCATCATGTAGCATTTTTTTTTTTTTTTTTTTTTTTCAACAAGTCGACCGTCTCCCACCGAGGCAGGGTGACCCAAAAAAAAAGAAAGAAAATCCCCAAAAAGAAAATACTTTCATCATTCAACACTTTCACCACACTCACACATTATCACTGTTTTTGCAGAGGTGCTCAGAATACAACAGTTTAGAAGCATATACGTATAAAGATACACAACATATCCCTCCAAACTGCCAATATCCCAAAACCCCTCCTTTAAAGTGCAGGCATTGTACTTCCCATTTCCAGGACTCAAGTCGGACTATATGAAAATAACCGGTTTCCCTGAATCCCTTCACTAAATATGACCCTGCTCACACTCCAACAGATCGTCAGGTCCCAAGTATCATTCGTCTCCATTCACTCCTATCTAACACGCTCATGCACGCTTGCTGGAAGTCCAAGCCCCTCGCCCACAAAACCTCCTTTACCCTCTTTCCAACCCTTTCGAGGACGGACCCCTACCCCTCCTTCCTCCCCTATAGATTTATATGCTTTCCATGTCATTCTACTTTGATCCATTCTCTCTAAATGACCAAACCACCTCAACAACCCCTCTTCTGCCCTCTGACTAATGCTTTTATTAACTCCACACCTTCTCCTAATTTCCACACTCCGAATTTTCTGCATAATATTTACACACATTGCCCTTAGACAGGACATCTCCACTGCCTCCAACTGTCTCCTCGCTGCTGCATTTACCACCCAAGCTTCACATCCATATAAGAGTGTTGGTACTACTATGCTTTCATACATTCCCTTCTTTGCTTCCATAGGTAACGTTTTTTGACTCCACATATACCTCAACGCACCACTCGCCTTTTTTCCCTCATCAATTCTATGATTTACCTCATCCTTCATAAATCCATCCGCCGACACGTCAACTCCCAAGTATCTGAAAACATTCACTTCTTCCATACTCCTCCTTCCCAATTTGATATCCAATTTTTCTTTATCTGAATCATTTGATACCCTCATCACCTTACTCTTTTCTATGTTCACTTTCAACTTTCTACCTTTACACACATTCTCAAACTCATCCACTAACCTTTGCAATTTTTCTTCAGAATCTCCCATAAGCACAGTTTTTTTTTTTTTTTTTTTTTTTTTTCAACAAGTACGGCCAGTCTCCCACGAGGCAGGTGACCCAAAAAAAGAAATCCCCCAAAAAGAAATACTTTCATCATCATTCAACACTTTCACCACACTGCATTAATCACTGTTTGCAGAGGTGATCAGAATACACAGTCTAAGCATAAACATATAAAGATACACAACATATCCTCCAATGCCCAATATCCCAAACCCCCCCTTTAAAATGCAGGCTTTTTTACTTCCCCTTTCCAGGACTCAAATCCGACTTAAAAATAACCCCGGGCCCGAATCCCCTTTACTAAAAAATTACCGCTCACACTCCCAAAGATGTCGGTCCCAAGTACCATTCGTTTTCCCTTCACTCCTATCTAACACGCCCCCCCCATGCACGCTTGGGGAAGTCCCAAACCCCCTTACCACAAAACCTCCCTTTTCCCCCTCTCTCCGTATCTCAGCAAAAAGTAACTGTGTCAATTCCCATTTTGAATTTGATTCCCCATAATTTAACCCCACCCCTCTCCGAACACCCTAGCATTTACTTCTTTACAACCCCATCTATAAATATATTAAACAACCATGGTGACATTACACATCCCTGTCTAAGACCTACTTTTACCGGGAAGTATTCTCCCTCTCTTTTACACACCCTAACCTGAGCCTCACTATCCTCATAAAAACTCTTAACAGCATTTAGTAACTTACCACCTATTCCATATACTTGCAACATCTGCCACATTGCTCCTCTATCCACTCTATCATATGCCTTTTCTAAATCCATAAATGCAATAAAAACTTCCCTACCTTTATCTAAATACTGTTCACATATATGCTTCAATGTAAAAAACTTGATCTACACATCCCCTACCCACTCTGAAGCCTCCTTGCTCATCTGCAATCCTACATTCTGTCTTACCTCTAATTCTTTCAATTATAACCCTACCGTATACTTTTCCTGGTACACTCAGTAAACTTATTCCTCTATAATTTTTACAATCTCTTTTGTCCCCTTTCCCTTTATATAAAGGGACTATACATGCTCTCCGCCAATCCCTAGGTACCTTCCCCTCTTTCATACATTTATTAAAACAAAAGTACCAACCACTCCAACACTATATCCCCCCCTGCTTTAACATTTCTGTCATGATCCCATCAGTTCCAGCTGCTTTACCCCCTTTCATTCTACGTAATGCCTCATGTACCTCCACCACACGTACATTCTGCTCTTCTTCACTCCTAAAAGATGGTATACCTCCCTGGGCCCGTGCATGAAATTACCGCCTCCCTTTCTTCCTCAACATTTAAAAGTTCCTCAAAAATATTCTCGCCATCTACCTAATACCTCCCTTTCCCCATTTTACTAATTCCCCTACTCTGTTTTTAACTGACAAATCCCCTACTTTCCCTAGGCTTTCTTAACTTGTTTAACTCACTCCAAAAATTTTTCTTTTTTCATTAAAATTTCTTGACAATGCCTCTCCCACTCTTTCATCTGCTCTCCTTTTGCACTCTCTCACCACTCTCTTCACCTTTCTTTTACTTTTTCCCTTATACTCTGCTCTTCTTATAAACACTTCTGCTTTGTAAAAACCTCTCATAAGCTACCTTTTTTCTCTTTTATCACACCCTTTACTTCATCATTCCACCAGTCAGTCCTCTTTCCTCCTGCCCCCACCCTCCTATAACCACAAACTTCTGCCCCACATTCTAATACTGCATTTTTAAAGCTATTCCAACCCTCTTCAACCCCCCTTACTACTCATCTTTGCACTAGCCCTCCTTTCTGCCAATAGTCGCTTATATCTCACCCGAACTTCCTCCTCCCTTAGTTTATACACTTTCACCTCCCTCTTACTTGTTGTTGCCACCTTCCTCTTTTCCCATCTACCTCTTACTCTAACTGTAGCTACAACTAAATAATGATCTGATATATCAGTTGCCCCTCTATAAACATGTACATCCTGGAGCCTACCCATCAACCTTTTATCCACCAATACATAATCTAACAAACTTCTTTCATTACGTGCTACATCATACCTTGTATATTTATTTATCCTCTTTTTCATAAAATATGTATTACTTATTACCAAATTTCTTTCTACACATAGCTCAATTAAAGGCTCCCCATTTACATTTACCCCTGGCACCCCAAATTTACCTACTACTCCCTCCATAACATTTTTACCCACTTTAGCCTTGAAATCCCCAGCCACCATTACTCTCACGATTGGTTCAAAACTCCCCATGCATTCACTCAACATTTCCCAAAATCTCTCTCCTCTACACTTCTCTCTTCTCCAGGTGCATACACACTTACTATAACCCACTTTTCACATCCAATCTTTATTTTTCTCTACATAATCCTTGAGTTTATACATTTGTAGTCCCTCTTTTCCTGCCATAGCTTATCCTTCAACATTATTGCTACTCCTTCTTTAGCTCTAACTCTATTTGAAACCCCTGACCTAATCCCATTTATTCCTCTCCATTGAAACTCTTCCACCCCCTTCAGCTTTGTTTCACTTAAAGCCAGGACATCCAGTTTCTTCTCATTCATAACATCCACAATCATCTCTTTCTTATCATTTGCACAACATCCACGCACATTCAGACTTCCCACTTTGACAATTTTCTTCTTCTTATTCTTTTTAGTAATCTTTACAAGAAAAGGGGTTACTAGCCCATTGTTCCCGGCATTTTAGTTGACTTTTACAACACACATGGCTCACGGAGGAAAGATTCTTATTCCACTTCCCCATGGATATAAAAGGAAAAGTAATAAGACCAAGAACTATTAAGATAAAATCAAAGAAAACTCAGATAAGTGTGTATAAATAAACGTGTACATGTATGTGCAGTGTGACCTAAGTGTAAGTAGAAGTAGCAAGACATGCCTGTAATCTTGCATATTTATGAGACAGACAAAAGACACCAGCAATCCTACCATCATGTAAAACAATTACAGGCTTTCATTTTACACTCACTTGGCAGGACGGTAGTACCTCCCTTGGTGGTTGCTGTCTACCAACGTACTACCCATTGTGAACATTAAAATGGTATAAAATACCGACAGGTTGTTTGGTAAGACACAGACTGTGGAACAATACTCTTCTCCGGACTGAGGGACTAACCACCTCAAAACTTCAAGGGTGATGGACTGATTACATCGTCTTCAAGTCTCTTCTGCTTCTATCAACTTTTCTGTACTCGACCGAAGAAGCCTACGGTGTAGGTGAAATGTTTCAAAATAAAGATACCTAACTGTTGCATATGTGTCTTACCAAACAACATGTCCCATTGTATTGTTTATGTACTACATCTATATTTGATGTAAAAAAATTTTTTGTTTTAATACTTTTGGGTGTCAGGAACGGATTAATTGTATTTACATTATCTCTTATGGGGAAAATTGATTCGAAAATCGTAGATTTCGATAATAGTAACACCTCCATGAACGGATTAATTACGATAAACGAGGGACCACTGTATAGGGCAATATTTTAACCAGGTCAGCATGTCACTAATCATCTTCATATTGTCTATTCAGAGGGTCAGTTGAATTGTAATATCTGCGCACTTCTCATAAGACAGCTATTGAATAAATGATGGTGAATATGACTCCATTTTTTGGGTTACCCCACCTTGGTGGGAGATAGCTGGTGTATTATTGAGTAGGGTGAGGCTCAGGTTAGGGTATGCAGGAGAGAAGGGGAATATTTTCCAGTAAAAGTAGGCCTTAGATAGCAATATGTGATGTTACTATGGTTGTTTAACATTATAGATGGGGCTGTAGAAGAGGTGAATGCCTGGGTGTTGAGGTGAGGTGTGCGATTAAATTATAACAAATTTGATACAAAGTGGGAGTTAGCATAGTTGTTCTTGACTGATGACTTGGTTCTTCAAGGAGATTCTGATAGTTGAACATCAGATTGGAGAGAGGAATTATAGAAGAAGTCTTTGTATTTAAATATTCAGGAGTGAACATGTAGATAGAGACATACTGTCTGAGAATCAAGAAACAAGTACTTGGGGGCACAGCTGGAAGTTAGACACAAATAAGCCACAGGGATGTCAGAGAGTATTTCTTCAGTCTCAGAGTGGTCAGGAAGACTGTACCTGTTTTTCTAGAATAGGGAGCAGAGTGTTTCATGTGAGTGGTGTCCCCAGAAATAGAAGGAACTTATTAATATGGAGAGGTATTTTGCTCACAAATGTGAGAAAAATGATATATTTGTGCAACAATATTGTAAATATGAATGTGTTTCCTTCTTTCGGTCACTACATTGGTGAGGAAAAGTAAATGTGGTAAAAAATATATAAAAAGATACAATTTCTACAAATGTTTGTTCTTGACAGGATGTGAGTGGTGAACCATTAGCTCCCATCCCATTTGGTGGAGTGTATCTTCCGTTGGAGTGTCCCCCTCGTGAGTGTCAACGCTCGCCATTGCTCTTGACGTATGATGCTGCTCATTTCTCAGCTCTAGTGGTTATGGAAACACAGGCAGAGTGTAGTGCCTCTCTGCTTCCTGGTAAGATTCATTAAATATAGTTTCCATTCTTTCACATTTTTTTTCAGGATTATGACTTGCAGATTAAAAAGGTGTTGTGTTTAATCAAGGACATTGAAATAAGAGCCTTTTCATTGATGCCTGCCAGCACAGGTAACTTGAACTAATGAAGTCAGAACCAGGAACAATACGAACACTCAACTATAATCACAATCCTCAAGTATCTGCCAGTTTTTGTGATTAGCTGGTTGTCAACACTAGAAGCATGGGCATTGTGCATTTTTCCCACTATGCTTGGTACTCTCATCACTGCCTAACACACTGTATCAGCCTTCTTATGTATCATAAGAACATAAGAATGGAGGAACACTGCAGAAGGCCTACTGGCCCATGCAAGGCAGGTCCGTATCACCTTCATTAATTTTTTTATACATTGTTGTGTTGTTTTAAGCCCAGAACGTTCTCCCTACCCAGGAGTTTTCCTTTAAATCTGTATAATATATAGTCTGTTTTACCTAGGTAGTAGGTTGGTAGACAGCAACTGCCCAGGGAGGTACTACCGTCCTGCCAAGTGAGTGTAAAACGAAAGCCTGTAATTCTTTTACATGATGGTAGGATTGTTGGTGTCTTTTGTCTGTCTCCTAAATATGCAAGATTACAGGTACGTCTTGCTACTTCTACTTACACTTAGGTCACACTACACATGCATGTACAAACATATATATACACACCCGTCTGGGTTTTCTTCTATTTTCTTTCTAGTTCTTGTTCTTGTTTATTTCCTCTTACCTCCATGGGGAAGTGGAACAGAATTCTTCCTCCGTAAGCCATGTGTGTTGTAAGAGGTGACTAAAATGCCGGGTGATATCTTCATCACCTTACTCTTATCTACGTTCACTCTCACCTTTCTACCTTTGCACACCCTCCCAAACTCGTCCACTAACCTTTGCAACTTTTCTTTAGAATCTCCCATAAGCACAGTATCATAAGCATAAGCACAGTATCATCAACGCGGGGGCGTTGATCCTCGGAAGAACCTCCAGGTAACACCCTAGCATTTACCTCCTTGACAACCCCATCTATAAATATAATAAACAACCATGGTGACATTACACATCCCTGTCTAAGACCTTCTTTTACCGGGAAGTATTCTCCCTCTCTCTCCTTCACACCCTAACCTGAGCCTCACTATAGTATTTGTATACTGTATTAACTAGCAATAAACATTTTCATTTTTTTCATCTTCATGATTATCATGGGTTCTAATTAATTTTATCATTCTACACCCCTCAAAGGAGATTCCTTACTGTAAGGCATTTGACTTGTCTTCCCTGTCCTTGGATTGAACATGATTGTCCCCCATTCCCTAGATGTTGTATTATCCCTAAGGGTTTATTGCTTCCCCTTCAGTATAATAATAATAATCATAATTCAGCACTGTGTGCTGCAGGATTTTTTTTTATACAGTGCACACTGACCACACAGACCCATTCTCTCACATGTGGGCCTACCAGCTTTCTCCTGCTTGATTTGAAGCCACTAGAATTATTGAGTATATGTATGTCCGAAACACTGGCTCATAAGACGTATATATACGGCCGAAACAGTCAAAGGGTTAACCTCTATCCCCTTCATTACATCACTGTGGTATAAGGTAGTCATTGACAATGTGTTGTGCCCTCCTTCCACCAACATACCTCCATTTGCCCCACTCTTGATTGGAGGCCACAATTACAGCAGTATTAGTCAAAGGGCTGAAGAGGGGCTGTTGAGGTAGTTTGGTCATTTCGAGAGAATGGAGCAAAGTAGAATGACTTGGAGAGTGTATAAATCTGTAGGGGAAGCAAGGCGGGGTAGGGGTTGTCCTCGAAAAGGTTGGAGGGAGGGGATAAAGGAGGTTTTGTGGGCGAGGGGCTTGGACTTCTAGCTAGCATGTATGAGTGTGTTAGATAGGAGTGAATGGAAATGAATGCTTTTCGGGACCTGACGAGCTCTTGGTGTGCGAGCAGGGTAATATTTTGTGAAGGGATTCAGAGAAATGGGTTAGCTGGACTTTAGTCCTGGAAATGGGAAGTACAGTGCCTGCACTTTAACCCTTAAACAGTCCAAACAGATCGACGTTCAGATCCGTAGTGCTCCAAAAGTAGATCTACGTTTTATTTACATATTTTCAAAAATAACAAAAAAAATGTAGATAAAAGTTTTTTTACACATTTTTAAATGTAAAACAAGAAAGAATATCTAAATTTTTTTACATACTTTCAAATGTTGAAAAAACGTATACAGGAGGGCCCCGCTTTACGGCGTTCCGCTTTACGGCGTTCCGCTAATACGGACATTTCAAATTATGACCAAAACTCACTATACGGCTCCCCCCACCTGACTTTCTAATACGGTCACCGTGCCCCACCCTGTTTGTTTACATTCTCCATGAGCTCAGTAAGCACTAAGTCTCTCCATTTTGTCTGGAAACTCCAAAATTTCAAATGTTTTTAAAAGTTATTTCATATTTTATATATACTCTGATTTTTTTTTTTTTTTTTTTTTTTTCAACAAGTCGGCCGTCTCCCACCGAGGCAGGGTGACCCAAAAAAGAAAGAAAATCCCCAAAAAGAAAATACTTTCATCATCATTCAACACTTTCACCACACTCGCACATTATCACTGTTTTTGCAGAGGTGCTCAGAATACAACAGTCTAGAAGCATAAACATATAAAGATACACAACATATCCCTCCAAACTGCCAATATCCCAAACCCCTCCTTTAAAGTGCAGGCATTGTACTTCCCATTTCCAGGACTCAAGTCCGACTATATGAAAATAACCGGTTTCCTGAATCCCTTCACTAAATATTACCCTGCTCACACTCCAACAGATCGTCAGGTCCCCAAGTACCATTCGTCTCCATTCACTCCTATCTAACACGCTCACGCACGCTTGCTGGAAGTCCAAGCCCCTTACCCACAAAACCTCCTTTACCCCCTCTCTCCAACCCTTTCGAGGACGACCCCTACCCCGCCTTCCTTCCCCTATAGATTTATATGCTTTCCATGTCATTCTACTGTGATCCATTCTCTCTAAATGACCAAACCACCTCAACAACCCCTCTTCTGCCCTCTGACTAATACTTTTATTAACTCCACACCTTCTCCTAATTTCCACACTCCGAATTTTCTGCATAATATTTACACCACACATTGCCCTTAAACAGGACATCTCCGCTGCCTCCAACCGTCTCCTCGCTGCTGCATTTACCACCCAAGCTTCACACCCATATAAGAGTGTTGGTACTACTATACTTTCATACATTCCCTTCTTTGCCTCCATAGATAACGTTTTTTGACTCCACATATACCTCAACGCACCACTCACCTTTTTTCCCTCATCAATTCTATGATTAACCTCATCCTTCATAAATCCATCCACCGACACGTCAACTCCCAAGTATCTGAAAACATTCACTTCTTCCATACTCCTCCTCCCCAATTTGATATCCAATTTTTCTTTATCTAAATCATTTGACACCCTCATCACCTTACTCTTTTCTATGTTCACTTTCAACTTTCTACCTTTACACACATTCCCAAACTCATCCACTAACCTTTGCAATTTTCTTTAGAATCTCCCATAAGCACAGTATCATCAGCAAAAAGTAACTGTGTCAATTCCCATTTTGAATTTGATTCCCCATAATTTAATCCCACCCCTCTCCCAAACACCCTAGCATTTACTTCCTTTACAACCCCATCTATAAATATATTAAACAACCATGGTGACATTACACATCCCTGTCTAAGACCTACTTTTACCGGGAAGTAGTCTCCCTCTCTTCTACACACCCTAACCTGAGCCTCACTATCCTCATAAAAACTCTTTACAGCATTTAATAACTTACCACCTATTCCATATAACTTGCAACATCTGCCACATTGCTCCTCTATCCACTCTATCATATGCCTTTTCTAAATCCATAAATGCAATAAAAACTTCCCTATCTTTATCTAAATACTGTTCACATATATGCTTCAATGTAAACACCTGATCTACACATCCCCTACCCACTCTAAAACCTCCTTGCTCATCCGCAATCCTACATTCTGTCTTACCTCTAATTCTTTCAATTATAACCCTACCGTACACTTTTCCTGGTATACTCAGTAAGCTTATTCCTCTATAATTTTTACAGTCTCTTTTGTCCCTTTCCCTTTATATAAAGGACTATACATGCTCCTCCAATCCCTAGTACCTTCCCCTCTTTCATACTTTTATTAAACAAAAGTACCAACCACTCCAACATTTTATCCCCCCCTGCTTTTAACATTTCTGTAGACCCACCCAGTTTCCAGCTGCTTTACCCCCCTTTTCATTTACGTAATGCCTCCGTACCTCCCCCACACTTACATTCTGTCTTTTCCCACCCTAAAGATGGTATACCTCCTGACCAGTGCATAAATTACTGCCTCTGTTTCTTTCTTTTAACATTTAAAATTTCCTCAAAAATATTCTCGCCTTCCCAATACCTCCATCTCCCCATCTACTAACTCCCCTACTTCTGTTTTTAACTTGACAAATCCATTTTTCCCCTGGGCTTTTTAACTTGTTTAACTCACTCCAAAATTTTTTCTTATTTTCATTAAAATTTCTTGACATGCCTCTCCCACTCAATCATCTGCTCTCTTTTGCACTCTCATAACACACTCTCTTTAACCTTTCTTTTTACCTCCATTATACTCTGCTTTTCTTATAACACTTCTGCTTTGTAAAAACCTCTCATAAGCTACCTTTTTTCTCTTTTTCACACCCTTTACTTCATCATTCCACCAATCAACTCTTTCCCTCCTCCCCCACCCTCCTTTAACCACAAACTTCTGCCCCCACTTCAATACGCTTTTTTAAAACTATTCAACCCTCTTCAAACCTCCCCACTACTCACCCTTTGCACTAGCCCACCTTTCTGCCAAAGCCCCGCTTTATCTCACCCGAACTTCCTCCTCCCTTAGTTTTAACCCCTTTTCACCTCCCCCTTACTTGTTGTTGCCACCCTTCCTCTTTTCCCACTACCTCTTACTCTAACTTAGCTACAACTAAATAATGATCCGATATATCAGTTGCCCCTCTATAAACATGTACATCCTGGAGCCTACTCATCAACCTTTTATCCCCAATACATAATCTAATAAACTACTTTCATTACGTGCTACATCATACCTTGTATATTTATTTACCCTCTTTTTCAAAAAATGTATTACTTTTTTCCCAAAATTTTCTTTCTACACATAGCTCAATTAAAGGCTCCCCATTTACATTTACCCCTGGCACCCCAAATTTACCTACTACTCCCTCCATAACATTTTTACCCACTTTAGAAATAAAATCCCCAACCACCATTACTCTCACACTTGTTTCAAAACCCCCCCACGCATTCACTCAACATTTCCCAAAATCTCTCTCTCTCCTCTACACTTCTCTCTTCTCCAGGTGCATACACGCTTATTATAACCCACTTTTCACATCCAATCTTTATTTACTCCACATAATCCTTGAATTAATACATTTATAGTCCCTCTTTTCCTGCCATAGCTTTCCTTCAACATTATTGCTACTCCTTCTTTAGCTCTAACCTATTGAAACCCCTGACCTAACCCCATTTATTCCTCTCCACTGAAACTCTCCCACCCCCTTCAGCTTTGTTTCACTTAAAGCCAGGACACCCAGCTTCTTCTCATTCATAACATCCACAATCATCTCTTTCTTATCATCTGCACAACATCCACGCACATTCAGACTTCCCACTTTGACAATTTTCTTCTTCTTATTCTTTTTAGTAATCTTTACAGAAAAGGGGTTACTAGCCCATTGTTCCGGCATTTTATTTTGACTTTTACAACACGCATGGTTTACGGAGGAAAGATTTTTTATTCCACTTCCCCATGGATATAAAAGGAAAATTAATAAGACCAAGAACTATTAAGATAAAATCAAAGAAAACTCAGATGAGTGTGTATAAATAAATGTGTACATGTATGTGTAGTGTGACCTAAGTGTAAGTAGAAGTAGCAAGACATGCCTGTAATCTTGCATATTTATGAGACAGACAAAAGACATCAGCAATCCTACCATAAAAAACAATCACAGGCTTCGTTTTACACTCACTTGGCAGGACGGTAGTACCTCCCTGGGTGGTTGCTGTCTACCAACCTACTACCTAAAACCAACATTTATGTTTATACTCTGATAATTATACTTATGTATACCTGTACCTAAATAAACTTACATACATCAAGTCATTTAAATGTCGTTTTATTACGTTAATATACACATTTTCATTAATCCATCCATGATATTTTTTTCAAAAATTTTTATAATAAACACGATGCATAACATATAAATAGATAAATACACCCCCCAGTAGAATAAATAAACATAAATGTGAGCTGTGTAGAGACGACTTCCACAAGTGGTGATAATAACAATACTGAGTCTCATTAAATGTCGTATATTACGTTAATATACACATTTTCATTAATTTCCCTCCCTGATTTTTTTCAAAATTATATAATAAACACGATGCATAAACATATAAATAAGATAAATACACCCCACAGTAGAATAATAACATAAATGTGAGCTGTGTAGCAGACGACTTCCACAAGTGGTGATAATAACAATACTGAGTCTCATTAAATGTCGTATATTACGGTAATATACACATTTTCATTAATCCAGCCATGATATTTTTTTCAAAAATTTTATAATAAACACTATACATAACATATAAATAAGATAAATACACCCCACAGTTAGAATAAATAAACATAAATGTGATCTTGGTAGCAGACGACTTCCACAAGTGAGCCATAATAACAATAGTCACGGAGTCTCATTAAATGTGTATATTACGGTAATATACACATTTTCATTAATCCAGCCATGATATTTTTTTCAAAATTATATAATAAACACGATACATAACATAAAAAGATGATAAAAAACACCCCACAATAGAATAAATAAACGTAAATATAAGATGTGGGAGCCTGGTTTGTTTTCTCTGTGCCTGGCCTGTCACCTCTCATGTATTATTCTTTCTCTCTCTCATTTATTCGTTTTATCTCATTTACTTACTCCTGACCCTACATTAAGACTACAAAATTTTTAAGGTAAGTAATGAGTGAACTGTAAAATACATTTTATCGCTCTGGGATGCTTAAATTTTCATAGAATAGTATGTGTGGGTGGGGTGGCCTGGTGAAATAGCCTGCCTATTACAATACATACCACACTTGATTTCTTACAATAAAAAACTACTTGTCTCACCCTAGATTAAGACTATAAATATTTTTAAGGTAAGTAATGAGTGCACTATGTGTGTATTTTACCTTTTTATTTTTTTTTGATGCCTGGTTCTATTGCTAACTTAATATATGTTAGTGTAAACTTGTTATCTAGTGTTTGTATGCATTTATAAGTGGAAAAAAAGGGTGTTCCACTTTACGGCGATTTCCGCTTTACGGCGCTAGCCTGGAACCTAACCCGCCGTATAAGTGGGGCCTTCCTGTATATACGTTTGGACCATTTAAGGGTTAAAGGATGGGTTAGGAATATTGGCAGTTTGGAGGGGCATCTAAGCTGTTGTATCTGAGTGCCTCTGCAAAGATAGTGATTATGTATGAGTTATGGTGAAAGTGTTGAATGATGATGAAAGATTTTTTTTCTTTCTTTTTGGGTTTTTCTTTCTTTTTGGGTCACCCTGCCTTGGTGGGAAATGGCTGACGCGTTAAAAAAAAAAAAATGCCATTAAAGAGACACGAATGTAAGATAAGCCTTTATTGGGATTTTCTACTTTTAAGTAAAACTTTGTGATTACTTGAAAAAACTACCAAGAGAAAAATGCCCCAAAAAAGACCTGCTCTGCATCCTTGTGTTTTTGCCCACTTATATTTTTCTTGTAAATAACTTACTGCATTTTATCTTAAACTTTATTTAAGATTTTTCTTACGGTTACAGCTGTGATTCCCCTGACTGACTGCCTTCATGAGTTACTACCCATCCAGTTTGTGATTGATCCTGGAGAAGACTTTGTGTGGGGGCGTGACGACCAGAACCCAATCATTGTACAAAAGCTCACCATTACCACCCATGATCAAGTTGGACTCCTTAATGAATATCTTGATGTAACCCACGTTAGTGTCAAACAAATATTTGATGTGTTAAAAATGTCAAGTACAGTGGTACCTCAAATATTGGCTGAAATTCGTTCCGGAAGACTGTTCAAGTGCTGTTACCGAACAAATTTGTTTCCATAAGGAATAATGTAAATTAGATTAGTCCATTTCAGACCCCCAAAAATACACTTACAAAAGCACTTACAAAAATACACTTATATAATTGTTTGAGTTGGGAGCTGTTCGAAATTCGAGGTACCACTGTATTTTGTTTTGAAACCAAAATAATGCCAGTTATCATTTATCCTAAATTGAGAATGGAGTAGGAATTCATAAACTTTTTTTTTGTTTGTTTTATTTCTTTAGCACCTGTTATGTCTCTAAATTAATAATTCAATATGATTCAGACTAGACTTTTTTTCAGACTGTATTGATAGGTTTACATTTGGAATAATCATTCCCGAAGCTTTTTTTTTTTCCCAACTCGTCAGCTATCTACCACTGAGGCAGTGTCACCCAAAAGAAGAAATGAAGGTTTTTTCATCTTTTTACATTTAGTAATTTATACAGGAGACTGGTTATTAGAACCTTGTTCTCAGAATTTTAGTCACCTTACGACGCTTGTGCCTCTTCAAGGGGGGCTCCTTGGCGTGGTGAAGAGGCTCTTGGTCTGAGGAATTAGACCTGTCGGTCTCCTTCCTCAGACCGAACCTAATTACCCCCCAATCCCCCGTTCCCTATCCCATCCTCCCCATCCTCCCCTTTTTCCTTTCCTCCTCCTCCTCCCCACCCCTCCCTTTTGCCCTTCCTTTTTGGCCTTTTTTTTTTTTTTTTTTTTTTCCCACAGGCACGCGCTAGTTCCTAGGTAGGGGAAAGGGTACCAGGGTCCATCCCATTCCATTGAGGTTCTTGGCGGTGGCGTAGTTTGCCGTGGAATCTGGATTGCCTGGGGATGTCCCGATCCCTCTCCGGTATCCCGGAGGGTGACTTTGGGTGTCTCTCGGGCGACGGGTGTATCTCTGGAAGCCACCTTTCAGATTCCGGGGGTGGTGGCCGAAGGAGGTATGCTTTGTGGCGGATTTCCGGCCGCCCTCTCTTTTGTCCACCGAGGTAGCTCGGCAGATGTGAGGTTGCTATCCCGGATTGCCGGTTTACTGGCATGATGGGTAGGGTATGGCACGGTTCCATGCTGCATCTGCGCTACTAGCGGTGCTGAGGTCCTCTTGGGCGCGGAGGGAGATTTCTGGCCCTTTCATTCCTCCTAGGAACTATCCCTCCCCGGTCCCCTCTTTTTTTATTCTTTTTTTTTATTTTTATTTTCTTTTCTTCTTTCTTTTTTTTTTTCTTAAAAACAAAAAGAAAGAAGTAACCTAACCATGGCAGCCCTAGTCCATGAACCTGCTACCCCCGGGCACCTTCTTGATACCGCACCCCGTTCTGACCCCGCCTTGTCTTTGGACCACTCTTTGGACACTGCTCATGCCTTTGTACCTCTTGCCGGTGCTGTTTCCTCACCTGCTTCAGGTACTGAGGCCTCGACTGACTCCTTCGATTTATCTGACCTTCGCTCTCCTCTGACTATGCTTCCGGCCTCTCCCTCTACGGTGCGGCAATTTTCGAATCGCCGACCCGTTTCACGTCAGACCAACTCTGGTCCCACGCCTAAACGCCAACGACAATTACCTGCTGATGATACTTCTCCACCTTCTCGTTCTTCTCAGAAAAGATCAACACGTCCTTCACTACCTTTCCACGCTCAGTTTTGGACTGCACAATGGACTAAATTCTTCACTTTACGACTGACTTCCTCTACTGCCTATCTTTCTGACCACAGTATTGGCAAGGCACTCCTACGCCATGTTGGTAAAGATATTTCTTTTCATGCTCTTAGGAGCGGTACGCGCATCATCACCGTACAGAATGCTACCCAGGCTCATGAGCTTTCTCGTCTTTCCCATATCGATACTGTTCCTGTCACATTAAAAAAACATCATTCCCTCAATTCTTGTAGTAGTACCGTCATTCTGCCCCATACCATAGTTCAACAAAATTTCCAGACATGTGGCACTGACATTCTTGAACAGCTGGAACTCCAAGATCTCCCAATCCTCAAGGTAGACACTTACGTTCTTCCTGCCCGTGGGCGGAGATGATACCCTAGCAATGTGGCTCGTTTAACTTTTGACAGCCGTGAACTCCCATCCTCAGTTTATGTAGCAGGACATCGGTTACAAGTTCGAAAGGTGATCCCTACACTGCAACAGTGTAGAAATTGCTGGCGATTTGGCCATCCAGCGAAATATTGCAGATCTATCGCCGAATGCCCAGTCTGTGGTGCCGATGACCATTCTAATATGTCTTGCAATCGACCTCCCTCTTGCCTTAATTGTCATGAGGCTCACCCTTCGTACTCTTGCCGTTGTCAAGTCTACTTAAACGAGCGGGAAATCCGTTACCTCAAAGAGGCAGAAGGTCTCCCTTATGCGATGGCAGTTTCTCATCTCCGCCTCCAAGGGAGACTACCTTGTGTTTCTTATTCCCGTGTTTCAAAACGTCCCCCCACTTCTGGTATCCCATCTTCTGCACCCACCTCTGTGGTTACCTCTCCCATAGTCACTCCTGTATCTAATTCTTTTGCAGTCCTCGGCTCAGACGTCCCTACTTCAATGCCTCAGTCTGATCTCGCTTCTTCGTGTTCTCTCTCACAAGCCTCAGTAGCGACGAGATCTCGTATGACACCTCCTCCCAATCGTCCCTCTACTTCTCAAAAGTCAAAAAAAGGTCCGTTAACACCTCCTACCCATCTTCCACCTCCTCATTTTACCTTCCCTGTCTCTGTACCTGGTTCTCCCCCTCTCACTGGCTCTGTTACAAGTGTAGAGGTTCACCCTCCTCGTACTGTACTTTCCTCCCCTGTTCCCTCCCAAGTTTCTTCCTCTTCTGCCACCTCCCAGGTTTCTGCTTCTTCTGTCCCCTTCCATGCTTCTCCAGTTCCCTCCACCCTTTTGCCCCCCCCCCCTAAATCGGTAGAGTCCAATACAGTTCCAATCTTTACTCATCCTCCCCCTACCATTTCCAATATTGTCTCCCATATGACGTCTCTGAATTCTGAAACACTTGAAGCAATCTCTGAATATATTGCAGAGACCAAACCATCAATGGACACTGATCCACCCTCCACTCCTCTCTCCTCTGTTCCATCTATGCAAATCCTTTCTTCACAGCGCACCATTCCTTCACTGCTTGAACGTTTTCCACTGCCTCCGCATGTGGACTTTTCTAACCCCTCTAGTCCGTAGGAACCCTTACCTGCGGATTTCAGGTATCTTTATCATTGCCAATCATGGCCTATATACAGTGGAATATACGTGGCCTCGGGTAATCGGAGTGAGCTTCAGATGTTACTCTCCCAGTTTTCCCCTGTTGGTGTTTGCTTACAGGAACCAAAATTACACTCTGCTGTTATCTCTCCCATCTCAGGCTATAATTTATTGTATTCTTCAGATCCTTTTCCTGATGGGACCTTTAATGAAAGTGCCCTTCTTATACGCACTGATATTCTGTGCCATCAGCTATTTGTTCGTACTTCGCTGCATTACACAGCAGCCCGTATCCACTTGCATAGGTGGTATACGCTCTGTTCTTTATATCTCTCTCCTTCTCGGGCATTATCTATTCAGGATATTGCCTTTCTTGTTTCGTCATTACCGCCACCGATTCTGTTACTTGGTGATTTTAATGCCCACCATTTCCTCTGGGGGGGGGTCTCACTGTGATTCCCATGGCATTCAGTTAGAGGCTTTTCTTGCCACCCACCCCCTCCATGTTTTAAATACAGGTACTCACACCCATTTTGATCCTCGGACTCACACACTCTTGCATCGATCTCTCAGTCTGCTCTTCCTCCGCCGCATTAGACTTCACTTGGTCTGTTCTCCCGGACTTACATGACAGCGATCATTTCCCAATCATTCTTACTTCCCCCCTTCATATTCACCACCTCTTCGCATCCCACGCTGGCAATTTGATCAGGCAAATTGAAACCTTTACTGTTTTTAGAGAGGTTCCTTCTTCGTCCTCCATCGATGAGCTTTTACACCTCTTCTCGTCCTCCGTTTTAACCGCAGCTTCTCATTCTATACCCCAAACTTCGGGCAGGCATTCTCAGAAATGCGTGCCTTGGTGGTCTCCTGCTTGTGCTCGTGCAGTACGTTTGAAACGCGCTGCATGGGGCAGGTACTGGTACAATAGAACCACAGAGAGACTTCTTGATTTTAAGCAGAAGCGTGCGATCGCTCGCCGTGTCATCCGTGACGCTAAACGCACTTGCTGGCGAGATTATGTCTCCACCATCACCTCTGCTTCCTCTATGAGTGCAGTCTGGAAAAAAGTACGAAAACTGAGTGGTAAATATTCTCCTGACCCGCTCCTGTTCTGCGGGTTGCTGGTGTTGATATAGCAAACCCACTAATGTTGCCAATGAAATTGGCAATCATCTGGTCCGTATTTCTCAGGGACTCCATCTATGCCCCTCATTTCTTTCCTCAAAGTCTGCCAGAGAGTTAGCACCCTTGGACTTTTCTTCTCTCAGAGAAGAACAGTATAATGTGCCTTTTACACTTCAAGAACTGAGGCAACACTTTCAGCTTGCCGATCATCGGCAGCTGGGCCCGACGACATTCATATTTGTATGCTACAACATTTACATCAGTCAGCCCTGCAGTCCTATTACGCCTTTACAATCTCATTTGGTCACAAGGAGTTTCTTCAACAGCTGTGGAAATCAGCCATTTTTCTCCCTTTCCGCAAACCAGGCACTACGGGACATGAAACCTCCCACTATCGCCCATTGCTCTTACCAGTGCAATTTGCAAAGTGATGGAACGCCTAGTAAATAGACGTTTAGTGTGGTATTTAGAGCACACAACAGTCTCTCCACTCGTCAACATGGCTTTCGTAAGGGACGTTCTACCATAGACCCTTACTACGCTTGGATACGTATGTTCGTAATGCCTTTG